ATCATTATCTAAAATGTAATCCAGAGAACAAATGCAGCTTGTGACTGCATATATATATCAGTAAAAGTCAAGGTCAATCAGCCTTGATTTTTTTTTTGTCTTGGTATGAAAAAGAGGCATGTGGGAAGAATATAAAAAGCAGACTTGATATAAGAGAGGACCCAAGTTCAAGTTCTGATTGTGAAATTTAACTTAAATAAGTCACTTAACATCTCAAACTGAGTTACTCCATGTTTTAAGTGGAGAAAATAGTATCTACTTCACAGTATTTTAAGCATACAAAGTGAAAGGATCTTGCAACCTGTAAAGCTATATAAAGATACCTTTATATAGTTAAAGTCTTGAGAATCAAAGGGTAGGTATTTTAAGCTATGTATTTAAGGACTTTGAAATTGAGACTTTAGCCTTCTTCCCTTGATTGAAGATGCACGTCATGCTGTGCAACAGAGCAGATGATTCATTATTACAGAATTAAAAAGTCAGTTGACCTGTCCACTTCTGAAACACAGTAAAAATAATACTGAAGCTCTTCTAAATTCTGACAAATCTTTGAATAATCACCTTTGGGGTTACTTAATTGAGTAAATATAATTTTAACTAGCAAATAAAAGAATAATTTTCTGGTTCAAAAGTTCTTATGGCATATTTACATGAGTAGAGAAGCATCTTAATATTGCTTATTCTTATTCTTTATTAGTCTTCAACCTTGAAATTACATAATACTAAATTATGAAATGACATATTTAAGCACAGTGACTACTTGATTTAAGCAGGCATGATAATAAATTCTTGGTTTTATTAGACTTTTTAAGTTATTAATTATACTGAAATAAATAATACTACCTTAGGAAAAAAACTGAAATATAGACAACTGAACACAGTACAAGTTCTTAGAGAAGCAGGACCAGGTACATTTATGTCCATAAACTATGTTTATAATATCATTATTTTATTTGTAAAGATCTGAAAAAATATTTTTATCCAATTTATCCACTTTGATTGAAAGAGACCTGTGGATCTTGGTATTTCTTAAGGAAATTACAACTCAAGTTTGGGTACATAATGACAAGTTGTCTAATATAAATTCCAAATAAGTTGTGATTATATTTTACTTTGCTTTTTTTCCCCCTTAGTTTTGTAGACTAGTCGAGGTCTGAGCTATTCCTTATAGATGTCACAGATACCACATTTCGACTTTTAAAAACTACACAAAGGATTTATGGAAATTATCCCTATTCCTTTCAATATGCTTGAGCCTCCCAGACAGGAAGTATTTGTTTTATCTTTGCATACTTAGCACCTTGGACAGTGCCAGGCATAAAATAGGCTCTTATCTATTCTAGAGCAGATGAATACATGAATGTTTTTGTCTTATAGATCGCTGGAGCTACTAATCACCAGGGCTTAAACATCTTTTTATTTTGCTGTAATTATGTTGCTTGTATGCAAACTACTTTTAAGTTGTTTTTATTTCATTTTTAATGCAAGATGTTACACTCAGAAAATAAAATCTCTTGCACTAAAATTCATGTTAGCATAAAAAATAATATATTGACCTTTTACTTACAAAATCACATATTAACATGAGAAAAATTTGGAACAAAAAATACCCTTTCTAAAGTAGTGTTTACTTTTATTCTCATCTTCAAGTTCACCAAGGAATTCTTTGAGTTATGAGGGAGACCTTCCTACTAACACCCTCTTCCCCCCCCCAAAAAAAACTGGAAGGAAAAAGAATTTTCCAGTCGGATTTAAAAAACATTACTGTGGAACAGTATGCGTTAGTGTGCATTGTAAAGACATATATTCTGAATTCCCTCTTTTCCTCCTTGAATTTCCTTTAATTTCCTATTTTATAAATACACTCGGTGATTCCTGTTAACCATATGCACTACAATAAAGATTATGGATTCTAGCAATTGCTTCTTGTATTCACAGTAGAAACTAGAACTTAATAAAGGAAAGAATATATACCGAGGGCAACCTCGGCTGTAAACGATCTCTGTAAACCGATATTTATTCGGTTTGCACTAAATTGGTGGTGGTATCACAAGAGCCCTTTGTCTCTGGGACGGTGGGTCTGGCAACCATTATCTATCTACTCGGGGAAGCGACGTCTGATGACTCCGCCCGGGCTGGGGGTGGGGAGGGTGCACCGCGTGGAGAGCTCTACGAGAATTAAAGTGAGCGAACAAAGAGAACTCCCAGCAGCCGCCCGCCAGCTCCTCGCAGCTGCATCAGGAGACGTCAGTCACGCCCGGAAGGCTGTTCGAATACGCCTCCCAGAGAAAAGAGCTCAAGTAAATAATTGATGGAGATTGATCCGCCCAGGACAAAGCTTTGCAGAAAACCAGTGCATCCGATTTCGAGTGGTTTTGGAATCCCCTGCCAAGTACAGGATACGGGAGCGCAGCACGGACTTTGAGTGAGGCTACGGATCTTCCATCTCGGGCGTGGCTCCGGCCTTTTTGTCTTCTTACCACCTCCCCTATCACCCCCCCCCCCGCCCCCCGGCCCGTCCCCGCCTTCGTCTCTTTCCTCTTGAAAGTAGCCTCTCTTTGGTTACTTCTACCCTATCCTCCCTTGCGATCCCGCCCTCTCCCCTGCCCAGTCCGGTGAGGTCAGCTCATGAATATCAGTGCACTTCCTGAGGAGCGTCTGGCACCGCTTGGTACCTCGCGCGTTCGCCTGCCCGGAGCCGCAGCTCCAGCCGATTCGCGGCCCGCGGGAAGTAACCGGCCCTGGGGGCAGCCGAACCTTCACGTTAACGCCATTGTTTGGAGAAATCGAGTGGGTGTGGAACTGGGGCGAGAGGGCCCAAAGTCGTGCTCAGCCAAAAAGTCGCATATAATACTACGAAGTTAAACTTTCCTTGTCTTTAAAAGACAACAACAACAAAATAAACCCTGAGGTCGCCGGAGGATCAGAAGGAAAGCGCTGTTGATTTGCATCAACTTACATCGCGTCTGCAGAGGTGTGAGCAGTTCTTCTGGATTTCTAAAGGGATGGGGATGAGAGATGGGGTGGGTCAGTGGGCAGATAAAATATGAGATGAAAATTGTTGGTTTGTGCCCATCCGGGGTTGCTTGGTTGGCGATTTCCACGGGGGAAGCCTTGAAGAGGCACAGCATCTTGTCACTTTGTGAGAATCACGTGACAGCATGGTACCTTTGATTGTGGGAGCCGAGTTCCTGGAACCTGAGCTTTCTCCTGGTTTAGAGCTGTCTGGGGCCGAATTTAAACGTTGTCAGGTGGCTCTCAGCTCCTGAGTGATTATGCCTAATTCAAAACAAAAGTAAGGTTGCATTATTGGCAATATATTGGCAATATAGCTTGTTTAAGTGGTCCACATTATTGTGACCCATGTCGTTGAACTAGGCCAGACATTCTAGGAGCATGTGGCTCTGGAGAACATGTAGAAAATAAGTTGGTGTATAACTTTTCCCCCCTTAGTGACTTCTTTGTTTGCAATGATTTTTTAAACAGTTGGAAGGAGATCCCAAAAAGAGAAAGGTGCAGAAGGAAACTTCCAGTAATATTTCTTCATAAAATGAGGAATTGCTGCACGTTCTTAAGCTATGATACTTAAAATGGACAATAACAGTAATAATCCTAGTAAAATAACTGGGAAGCATCTCCTCTCCTAATAGGAGGATTTTTTTTTTTTAAGGAGAACTTTCTGCCTAGTCACACCCTTTTCAGTGCTTTAAAGAGAGATGATAGCTCTAAGGAAAAAACACCAAACTGACAGCTGATCAGGTAGCTGGATCACTAGGGAGAAGAACACAGGAGGCATTGGCTTGCTATTTTCCAGATTTTAAAAGCTAGTGATAGTTTCATCTTGGAGAAAATACACAATAGAGGTTTATGGTGCCGCCATGAGTGAGGATGCACCAGGTTTCTTGGGTGCAGGGTCATTCTGTCTCAGAATTTGGCTCCAAAGGAGGAACCAGGCACTTTAAAAGTACAACTTTACCTATGATATAAACTTTACCTATGATATATACCATGTAATAAGATGTTTAAAAATGAAAATATTTTCTATCTGGCAATTACACTTAAAACTAAAATGACTCACAAGAACTATAAAATTAGGATAAATGTGGAAGTCATCACCTATAATTTAAGAAATTGTGCAGAGCCACCAATAAACTTTTCCAAAACTATTTTAAAAATTATTTACCAAGGCTTAAAGAAGAATACTTTTAGGGTTACTAATAACTAAACCATATAGATGATTCTGAATGCCATTACTTTCTTAAACTGAAGTTGATTTAAAGTCATTCATTACTTTTATTTTAGTTCTAGTCTAAAGGAAAATGGGTGCATTTCTCTAACCAAGAACAACATTAAGAGTCAGAGCTGTCTGAGACAAGTACCATGTATCCACAGCAAATTTCCTCTAGGAACCTACATCATAACCCCTTTCCTCTAATTGGGAATAGTAATTAAATAAAATGTTCTCTACTAAACTGGGTTTTAAAATTCGGATTGACTAAGGAGGAAAACCAAAGTTAAAAAAGCAGGGTATTCAACTCTAGCATGTGGACATCTCCTTTTCCTTCCGAAGCTTCTTCCTGACTTTATCCCCTCGCCTTTTTTTTTTCTTTTAAGTCTCCCTTCCTATCAATTCCTTTTTGACCCATATCTCACCATTGCCAGAACCTGCTACTGTGAGAATGTTAGGTTCAGCTGCTTTCAGATCATCATGGTGTGAAATGGAGATGGTGCCTCTCTGGGCAAGATGAGAATTGACTATTCTGCATCCTATTCCTAAACTCAAGGCTTTTATTAAGTGCTTTCCAAATGTCACGATTTTCTAGGGCTTCTCTTTTATGGGGAAATCACCCTTTGCTCTGTAACAATGCAGACATGTTGTGTGCTTCCCTTCTGTTTCTATCCCAGATTAGAAAGGGAGGTTGGCGGATTTGAGGAGGGAAAAGAATGATCTGGTGATGGACCATTCTAAATCTCATCTGGTAGATTCTTCCTAGACCGCCATGAGTCAGCCACCGATGGGGGGCGCTGCCCCTGCCACAGCCACAGCTTCTGCGGCCGCCTCTGCCACTGAGGCTCGACTGCACCCAGAGGGCAGCAGCAGAAAACAGCAGCGTGCTCAATCACCTGCCAGACTAAGGGACAATTCGGTCCGACAGACGACCGCGACCACCCGGTCCCCCGTGGGGGCCGGCACTAAATTGAACTCTGTTCGGCAGCAGCAGCTGCAGCAGCAGCAGGGCAGCAAGACTGGGAGCCGCTCAGTGCCGCCGACCAGCGCCCGAGGAGGCGGAGGCGGCGCGGAGAAGGCTGCGCCCCTGGCGCCCAAAGGGGCCGCGCCGGGAGCTGTCCATCTCGCGGCTGGTGCTGAAGCGGCCCCCGCGGCGACCCTGGCCCCGGTGGGCGGCAAGAGGCCTGGCCCGTCGGAAGAGCCATCCCGGGAGCTAGAGCCAGTGTCCGCCAAACTCGGGGAACCCCCTCCGCTCGGGGAAGGAGGAGGAGGGGGTGGGGAAGGAGGAGGAGCCGGCGGCGGCTCCGGGGAAAGGGAGGGGGGCGCTCCGCAGCCGCCGCCGCCGCCCAGGGGCTGGCGAGGGAAAGGCGTACGCGCTCAGCAGAGGGGCGGCAGCGGCGGGGAGGGGGCCTCCCCTTCACCATCCTCCTCTGCGGGCAAAACCCCAGGCCCCGGCAGCAGAAACTCCGGAAGCGGTGTTGTGGGGGGCGGCAGCGGTGGCGGTGGGAGCTACTGGAAGGAAGGATGTCTGCAGTCTGAGCTCATCCAGTTCCACCTCAAGAAGGAGCGGGCGGCAGCGGCGGCAGCCGCGGCTCAGATGCACACTAAGAACGGCGGCAGCAGCAGCCGCAGCTCCCCGGTCGCTGGCGCCCCTGCCATTTGCGAGCCTCTTGCAGTCCCTTCCGTCTCCCCAATGGCGGCGGCAGCGGAGGGCCCCCAGCAGAGCGCCGAGGGCAGCGCGAGTGGAGGGAGCATGCAGGCGGCGGCGCCTCCTTCGTCGCAGCCGCACCCGCAGCAGCTCCAGGAGCAGGAAGAAATGCAGGAGGAGATGGAGAAGCTGAGAGAGGAAAACGAGACTCTCAAGGTGAGAAGGGTGGAGGGAACCCAGTGGGGGAGGGGCGGTGTGGGCCTCGGAGGATTAGGGCGTGTCCCGCGAGGGTGAGCGGCTGTTAACCTGTTAGGGAGCCTTAAAGAGGGAAGGGAACAGGAAACCAGAGGAAGGGGCTCCTAGGCCTTTTCTAGATTTGAAACGGCCTAAGATTAGTAACCTGGATAAATCCAAAATTGGGCCTTCGTTTCCCTAATTATCATGGTTTGTCCCACTTTTTCATAGAGAGAGGTGGAGTAGGAGAGTTCGAGAAGGCCCAAAGAAGGCCCGTTTTTCTAGTTTCTTCCTCATTCAGCTCTGTCACTCCTGTCTCATGGAGAGGGGGCAATAAAACTGAGAATTTGGAGTTGTAATGGGGTGCATACGGTGCATGTCCGGGTGGCAGGGGGCGAGGTTAATTTTGACCCGCGGCCTGTCACCGCCTCAGAACGAGATTGATGAGCTGAGGACCGAAATGGACGAGATGAGGGACACTTTCTTCGAGGAGGATGCCTGTCAACTGCAGGAAATGCGCCACGAGTTGGAGAGAGCCAACAAAAACTGCCGGATCCTGCAGTACCGCCTCCGCAAAGCCGAGCGCAAAAGGCTCCGCTACGCACAGACTGGGGAAATCGACGGGGAGCTGTTGCGCAGCCTGGAGCAGGACCTCAAGGTCTGCGGCGCCGGCGCTGGGGGGAGCGGGGGCGCGGGGCGGGGGCGGGGGGCAGGGGCTGCAGGTAGGACCTCTTTGCGAGGAAAGGCCTTCACTGGTCATTAGCAAAGACACGGAGTTTCGCAGCGCTAACCACGAAATATCAGGTTCCGGGCAGGGGAAAGGGAAGAAGAGGCCAGTGAGGGGTTTGAAGATTCCAGTGTGCGTGGAAGGCCTTGCGGAAAGCGAGCTCTGTGGGCTTTCTTGGGTGTAACGGTGACTCTTCCAGAGATAGTGGGAGGAGAGCGCCTCCCGCGGCACAAACGCGGGCGTGGCAGTGCGCAGATGGTTTCTTGATCGGGCCTCCAGAGTCTGTCTTCCAAGTAAAGGCCAGGTGAAATCAGGCAGTCAAGAGCAGAGCGATGAAGACTCCTGAAGGGAGAGGAATTGAAGGCCAGAACAAGAACAGCTCTGGGAAGATATTAGAGTTAGGGTTTCTCGCTGCAAGTCCCCGTAACCTCCTTCTTCCAGGACTCCTTCCTTTCTGTACTTTGCTAACTCCCTGAAAGAAAATCTGTCCAACTTGCCGCCCCTTTTGGAGAAGTAAAGAGCGAGTGCAGTAAATGAAAGAACCTCATTCTTAATGTGAAGCTGTTCCTTTAGAATTTCCCCCAGTGGAGAAATTTTAACCTTGAAATATGTTTTTTAAGTAGGTGTGGTCTCTTCAGTTCAGTTTGACTGTAGGCCGATTCACTGACAATGCCAAACCAGTGTTATCTTCATAACCTTGGACAACCAAACATAATTTTAATTATTTTAACTTCCTCAAGATATGGAAAATCAAGTATAATTATCCTTTATTTGTTTTTAAAAAAGCTGTGAGAAAACACTTAGTGAAAGTCATTGTATTTTTTTTTCTGTTCCTAACAGTGCTCACTATGCACCAGGCACTGTGGCAAGCATTTTTATATATATTAACAGTGAATTATTTCCCTAAATGTTAGCTCAAGACAAAAAAAAAAAGCACCTATGAGGTTGGGATTATTAATAGCATCATCTTGATCTTCTTGTATGGAAGCTGAACCTTTTACAGAGGTAAAGTGCCCAGCGACCAGCCTTGGGAATCAGCTAATAGGTGGCCAGGCTGTCTGCCCACCCAGTATAAAACTACAGTCTATGTTCTGAGCCACTACATAATACTATACCAAAGGGTTTTGTTCCAAACCCTAAAATGTCCAAGATGATCTCAAAGCAAAAGGCAAAAATGTACACTATAAAACAAAACCAAACTTAATCTCAAGGACTGATAGTTTCCTGAAAGTAAGCACCTGACATCATAGGATCAAAATTCAAGCCCCACACCTCACCTGTGAAAACTTTGTTTTCTAGTCTTTAAAATGAGTGATATAGGAAATATCTAGTGTTGTTGTAGAATTAGGAGATATGTGACATTTCTTTACACATGACAAATCACGGTTGAACATCTATTACCTTGGCAAGTGTAGAGGTTAAGGGAACAGAGTGGAGAGCCAGACTACCTGACCACTTGTTCGCTGTGTGACCTTGAGCATATTACTTCACATCTCTGAGACTCCTTTTCCTCATTTATAAAGTAGGAATAGTAATAGTCCCTATATCATGGGATTGTTGTGAGGGCTAAATAACTTATGTATGTGAATGACTTATTTATTAAGCATCTGGAAAGATTACTGGTATATGGTAGAAACAATTTGTGTATTGATTCTTAGTAGTTTTATTTATTTATTTATTTTTGGCTCTTAGTAGTTTCAATGTGAATATAACTTTAGCCAACTTATTGTATTGTCTTCAATTACATATTATTGTTAAAACACTTCAATTTAGGTTGCAAAGGATGTATCTGTGAGACTTCACCATGAATTGGAAAATGTGGAAGAAAAGCGAACAACAACAGAAGATGAAAATGAAAAACTGAGGCAACAGCTTATAGAAGTTGAGATTGCAAAGCAAGCTTTACAGAATGAACTGGAAAAAATGAAGGAGGTTAGTATTTGATTATCTCATGGTATGCTACATATACATTTAGTTCTTTAGAAAAGAATCCCCAGGACTAGTATGACTGTTAAAATAATTCCATTTTTTAATGATTATAGAACAGTTTGTTGTTCTCACCCAATATACTAACAGACACATGACTTCATACTAAATTAATAAGTAGCAAAGAAAAACTGACGTCAGCCCTATCTCTAACTTGATATATATGAGCTCTGGCTGAGGTTTCATCCTGTCCTCTAAATTTATGTTAAAGAGGGGCACATGGGTGGCGCAATTGGTTGAGCTGCTGACTGTGGGTTTAGGCTCGGGTCGTGATCTCAGGGTTGTGGGATTGAGCCCCGTGTCAGGCTCTGCACTCAGCCTGGAGTCTGCTTGGGTTTCTACCTCTCCCTCTGCCCCTACCCACCCCCAATAAATAAATAAATACATCTTTAAAAATAAATAAATAAATTTATGTTAAAGAAATTACACAGCTATACCAAACACAAAGGATGTCAAGAGTATGAAGGACTAAGCCTTGTGTTGAGAAGAAGAACTAGTCCTGTGATTACTGCTGAGTTCATAGAACCACAGACTTTTAGGATGAAAAGGTCGTAAAAACCATTTAATTGAATCAAATCGAATCAAATTGAATCAAATCAAATAACTGTTTGAATCCTCTTTATGACAAAACCCCCAAATGATCGAATAGTTAGAACATCACCAGTGACTGACCTTTAAGATCATTTGCATTAGCCAATTCTGTGACAGCATAGCTCTGTTTAAAGGTTTGCTTTGTTTTGAGTTGAAATCTATTTCATTGTAACCTTGACCAATTCATCTTAGTTCCTACCCTTTAGGGTAGAAGAGTCAAGAGTCCTCTTCCCCATCAGGTATTTGAAGTTTCTACCATGTTTCCCCTAAATTGTCTCAAAGAACAAAATTAGTATCAAAGAAAATAATTGGAGGAGAAAAGAAACAGAAAAGATTTATCAAGAAGTAATTAGCTTTGTGATAAGTAGCAATTGAATTAAAATACTCATCTTTGAAAACTGCCTGAGAATGTACATGCACCTTGTGAAAACTATTATTGAGAATTAGCAAATGCACGCATGATCCTCTGGACATTTTCCTCTGCTTAAATATGCAGAATTTAAATGAAAATCCTAATCTTTCTGTGGGCTGAGATAGTTCACGTTTCAATGCTGTGCTTATCTCAAAATGGTATAAAAATATATATTACTATGTAACAGTGAAAATATCAAGTCTGATTAGGAATATGTGTCAGGAATTTGTATTAAATAGTTTCAGTGTGGTAAACTATTTTGTGATCTAAGTTTCTACTTATTGTTATATTATCCTTTTAAACATCTTTTAACATGACAAATTAGGGCAAAACCATTTTCATGATATGTAATTCTTGGCTAATACCTAAGGATGGCTGTGTGCTACAGTAGGAAAACATGGAAACTGGGAGCCATGTGACCATCCTTACCAGTAACTAACTGGGTGACTTAAAAGGCTTCAAACTTACCTCAGTTTATTCACTTGTAAAATGTTGTTTTTATGATTCTCAACATCTCCCACAGCTATCATGACTTTTATCATGAAATCCAGGACATTATCTTTAAAGAATAGCATAGATTTTTCCCCTAAGTTTAAGAGATTAACTATGAAATTATGTACATATATGTTTCTTAAACAATAATGTACAGTTGAAGTCAAAAATGAAAGTTTAATTTCTGGGAAAAACAATGAAATAGGCGGCTCTATTAGTTTGCTAGGGCTGTTATAACAAAGTACCAGCAACTGGGTGGTGTAAATAATAGACATTTATTTTCTCACAGTTCTGGCAGCTGGAAGTCCAAAGTCAAGGTGTAGTCAGGCTTACTCCCAGTGAAGGCGGGATCTGTTCCAAGGCCTCTCTCCTTGGCTTGTAGATGGCTGTCTCCATGTTTAGATTACATTCTCCCTATAGATGCCTATGTCCAGATTTCCCCTTTTATAGATATCAGTCATTGTAGATTAGGACCTACCTAATTGTAGGTTGTACATTGTAGATGGACTGCCTCTGTAAAGACCCTATCTCCAAAAAAGGTCACATTCTGTAATACTTGGGGTTACAACTTCAGCATGTGAATCAAGGGGACCCAATTCATCCTATAACCATAGCAATTAAACACCTTCTTATAGGCAAGCAAAGAGAAAGTTCATTGTCAGTTCCATTAGGGCTCCATTCCATGTTCATACCTCACTTGCCTTCTCCCATATTCCTTGTTTATGCAATTAAGAACATTCAAGTCAAAACAAACTTCATTTGCCTACCAGGAATAAAAGAGAAATACTTTGTGATTTGGTATCATGTGAATGTTTCTTAAGTAAATATCTGAAAATTGGATTTAAGAATGGCATAAGAACTTTCTGATTTCATTCTATGTCCAGAAAAGGGGAAAATGCCTGTAGACTAACTGTCCATTAGCCAGATAGATGGGACCGCTCCCATTGTAAAATAAAAGCCAGAATAGTCTGGCTACCGGGAAGAAGGGCTAGAACCTGAGAATATCCTCAGGAGAATCACTGTAGAGATGTATTTCCTTGATTCTGTTCCCTACACCCCTCCCTATAACTATTCTTCCTTCAGGACTCTGACTCTGATTTGGGAAAACACTCTAGTAACATCAAGCAATGCAGGTATATGTTCATGCCAAAAAGGAAATTCACATTCTCCTTGGAGTTCTAAAAGCCAAACTCCAGTCCCTGATTAGAGACTACAACAACAACAAAAAAAAGTGTAGGGAATTTAGGAGCATGTATTCAGGATATCAGCTTCTAAAGTAACCTTTGATTAAAAAGATGGGCTCTACAATAGCATTCTCAGTTTGAGAAGGTGGGTGGCAGTGGAGAAAAGAAATAGAAATAGAGAGGAAGAGCAAGAGAGAGGATGAGAAAGATCTGGGGGATTCTAAATGTAATAATGGAAAAATGAAAAATATTCTGGCAGGAAAGTTCTGAAATCATTCATTTGAGGTTAAGCTGCATAGTGTTCAGAAAAGTGTCAGGAATAGAAAAGGTAGTTTAAAAATATATTTGAAAATCAGAAATGTTTCATTAAAATGAGATTCTTGTAATGGTAACTTTGTTATCTTCCAAGAAGATCAATATTAAAACTGAGTTACAATAATAAGTGTCTCACTGTGTGGGGTAGGAGCTGTGACAGCTTCAGTTAATCATCTACTTCCTTGGTTGTAAAATGAAAACATATTCAAGTCCTTGGTGAGTGTTAACCACACAACTGTCATCCCTTTGTGGCATTCTAATCAGTGGAGAAAACAGAACGAGGCCAAACTTTCCATTATGAAAAAAGACACTAGTTATGGAGTAAAATCATAAAATGTTAAGTAGACTATACTAGAGAGAAGCAATCCTCTAACTCCCCAGTTTTTAGTTTCTTATTATGGAGTCATATAGATGTTGAACAGCACAACTGGGACCAATAGGCCATCTGCTGGTGTTTGGAAACCATTTACTAAGAGTTTAATTGGCTTCAAGGGTGTTGACCAATTGCTCTCAAGGCTAGTGGCTGCGCAAGGTCCTATGCACCTGCTCCCATCCATCTGCTTATCTTCTTCCTCTGAGAGTACGGAGTAGACACTGGGGTAAGAAGAGTTGAGTAGAGGCAGAATAGAGATAATTAGTTGAGTCTATTGCAACTCATGGCTTGTATTCAAACAGTTGGTATTCTGCCAGTTGCAAACAAGAGGGACCTCTTAGAATCTTAATGGTTTTTTCATCCGATTACAAAACATTGATTGCTACCACCACTATGCTTTCTTGCAGTAGAAAAATGCCTTTACTTTTATGTAACCCAGGGAAAATGATGGTCTGTCAGCATCACAAGCAATCAGAGACAGATTTTTGCAAAAGTTATTTCATGGAAACTACAACTAGCTCGTAGCATGAATGCCAAAACAGGTTAGTGCACAAATAGCACAAAGTGAGGATATGGAGGGGGCTCTGTGAGGGATGAGTCTCTGCTACAGTTAACAGAAGGTCACTTCTGGAAGTCCTGCTGCTGTAGGAAGTCCTGCTGCTGTAGGAAGAAACTTTACTTTGAGAGCTTTGAAACCCTTGTGCTTTTCACAAGGGAGGGGTCTTCTCATGTCACCTTTAAGATCTGACACTGGGAGAAGCATTGATGACAGACATTTGAGGAAAGAAATAACCAACAGAGGACCTTTGGAGATGGAAAGGAAGAAAGAGTAATTGAGATGATGACGATAAATGTTTACTTGATCCTTTTTATTTCAGAATCTATCCTCTTTGTGTTGTTTCATCCCTTAACCTCATGCAAGACTCTTAAAATAATTTTCTTAACTTTTCCTGGTCTTTGCCCTAGGGGGGTTCTTAACTTGCCTACTGTAATAGCACTATCTTGGGACTTTTATTTTCTGTGCACTTGGTTAATATATCCTGTCAATTACAGTGAACTCTCATTCTAGAACACAAAAATAATTAGTACTACAAATTTTAACAGTAGTGTCTTTTTTTTTTTAAGTACATAAGGAATATATCTGTTTACTCAGACTCTCTTTACAGACAGAAAACTTTAATAAACAAATGTTTCTCCTGCGTGTTTACTATTGCCCATTTATTTTTTGATAAGAAATGAGTGTAACTTTACTTGGATTTGATAGGGTGTGTTTAAGTTCTTAAGTGCAAAAACGAAATGCTGAGTGATAAATCAGCGAAGCAGCATCCCAAGAGACAGTTTTAAGGGGGAATTTCTTTGGCATTCAAGTATTTTCCCCCCTGGTTCTGGTAGTTGTAATTTGAAAAATAGAAGAGCAGTCACTGATATTTTTAAATGAAATTGCCATAAATATTTCTAAATGCATCAATTAAACACTATTACTTTAGTCTCATCTTCTCAGAGTTTGTTGAGTAACTTAGGCAGGAATAGTATGGACTAAATTAAAAGCAGAAAACAATGTGCTTGGTAAACAGGAAAA